TTTTTTTTCACAATGTAGTCACCATTTGATGAAGAAATTGTGTTCAGAGCTGGTTCTGCTTTGTCGAGCTGGCGATCCCCTGGATCGGTTGAAACGAAATCTCCAACCCAAGCGAAATCTTCAACATGGAAAAATAGGATCTCTTCTGCATGGAATAATTTCAAATATTCAGGTATCTATCTCTTATCCTTCTTTTTCTGGATATTGCAGGCTGGTTTATATTATACTTTTAGAAAAGTGGATGCACTTTACAAATGATGATTACACTTCCGATGGTTTCAAAAGAATAGTTCTGCTGGGACTGTGCTATTGTCCTGAAGACAGTGGTAAGTTGATATTTGTTTTAGAATTTGATTAAACATCTGGTCATTTATTTTTTCAATGAGTTTTTTTATTTATTGTTCGCTTGCTATGGTGGAACATGAATGCGATTTTCGAGTTGCGTTTAGAATGTGATTGTGGTATGGATTTCATCGATTTCTACCGCGATTACTACACAAGGATATGGATCACTTATAGGACAGGGATGCCACCTCTACTAGGAACAGAGGTAATATTCGTTTATCTTTAAAAATGTTTTGTCTTGGTTTCTACTTTGCTAGGAATTAATATTTGTTCACGTAATAGAATAAGGCCATTGATATCACATGATCAATAGTTTTTTTTTTAGGTGACAAGCGATTGCGGTTGGGGTTGCATGATCCGATCAACGCAAATGGCTATAGCACAGGCGCTGGTTGTTAATCGAATGACGAGAAGTAACGAATTTCGGTTTTTTTTCATTTTTGCAATAGCGCAATTGTTAAGGATGGCGTTATTACGGAAGAAAGCTATCCAGTCGTAAAGACGTGGGCCATTCCCGAGGAGATTCATTTTATGATGCTCAGCTGGAAGTGCTTAAACTGTTTGAGGTATGGAAACTACGAACTTTTGAAATTTTCCTTGCATTCTGGTTTTTGTTTTCTTTGCTTCATAATTGATGCCTTAGTGAATTTTTTGATTGCTTTTTAATCGTTAATTAAGCTGATTCACCTTTATTTTTTAAGAGTTTTCTTGGGTTCGAAAAATTTCCATGGAGTTCAAATTATTAATTGAAGATATGCAATGCATAATTCTTATTAATGCAGCTCATTCATTTGTTTGCTTATAGGATTGTCCATCTGCTCCGCTTGGAATGCATCGGCTTGTGGAAATATCAAGCAGAGAAAATCCAACGGAGAATGCTGTTGGACGGTGGTATGCTCCTTCCGAAGTGATCTCTTTGATGAAGTTGGTTCTGTCTTTTCCTTTTTTTCTACAATAAGAAGTCAAGGCATATCCTGCAGGAAAGCCATTCGACAGTCAGCTTCACCCCTGACTAGCGATCTGTCCATAATGCTGGCGGTTGATGGACGAGTAGTTGTCGGCGATGCAGAACGTGAAAGTCGTGCTTGGGCAAAAAGATTGCTACTTTTTGTCCCGGTGCGACTTGGAACTAGCAGTGTCAATCCGGTAGGTGTTACTTTAACAAGCGGTGAATGTGATTTCTACAAATTTCATGCACTCATCTTGGTTATTAAATAAAATTTCAAGGTTTATTTCGACCATATTCGGCATCTTCTCTCCACAACAACCTGTCTAGGAATATTGGGAGGAAGGCCAGATCATTCATTGTATTTCATTGGTTACTATGGTCGGGTGAGCCAGTCACTTCATTATTCTTCCTTTTTGGACATCATACATCACTCATTTTAATTCATATGTGCGTATTTTACTATGTTTCAGCAAGTAATCTATCTGGATCCTCATGTTGCGCATGAGTATATACCAATGTCTTCGTGGGATGAGTCAACACCACCACCAGACCACGAAGGTCAAGAGCCAGTGAAGGTGTTTGGATTAAAATCATTATTTTATGAATAAGTTGTTGTTTGGCATCATTTCCTTAACTCTCCATATTTCAAATCGACTTGTTTCAACTCCTACGGCTGGTCTGTAATCCTTCTAGCTTTATTTGCCCATATTGAAACAAGACACCATAAAAATGAAGAATATTCTTTCATGACTTTCTCAAGTTCCACCTTGTCTTCTTCTCTTCAAGAGAGAGATTTTCCATCTAGAAAGTAAAAAACTGATAAATGTCTATCTGCTTTCTTTATGTAGTGTTCTAGGTTTGGATTTAAGGATTTAGGGAAAATGATTTTTTTTGTTTCTTAGAAAAAATTCTTAGCTTTATCTTGATCTTAGATGCTCGAGTCAAATTTGAAAAATCATAATTTTTCTGAACCTAAAAGAAAAAAATGCCCGACATTTTGTATTTTTCACCAGTTGCACGTGCTTTCTTCTGTGTTGTGCTACTGCCTCATGTTTCGTCGTTGATATATTTGCCTGATGATTTCACAGGCTAAAATTTAATAATTTGCAGGTATTTGAAGATAATAGCATATTTAGAAACGCCACAAGCATCCGATCAGCTCATATCACTGCCGATCATTGTCTAAATTACCAATGAAGGACATGGATCCAAGCTGCGTTGTTGGATTCATGTTTCGAACAAAGGAAGATATGGATGGTACTTTTCGGATATTGAATTTGGTTAGTTTTTTCGGGAGCTTTCGAAAAAGTATCCGCAGCGTATTTGCCACCTCACATCAAGACCATGTATGTCGATGCACTTGCTTTTCTTTTGCATAAGTTGGAATTGGTATATGGGACGCAATAACACCACATGCGTCATCCAGTTGAAAATTTCTTCTTTTAGAATCAAGTTGTGGATGTGGATCTTGGCCCTGGAGAAGGCTCAAAACGTACCAAAGATCCACTTTTCACAGTACAGTACCAAGAAACAGCATCTTACGATTGCTTGAGGGAAGTGAGTGAGGATGAACAGCGGCAAGCGCTGGAACA